GGGGCCGGCCGTGCCCGGGGCTGGGAGCTGGAGAAGTTGCCGTTCTGCCGGTGCTGGGCGTTAATGTCGCTTGTGACTTGGTGGCTGTTCCGCTACGCCGTGGGTGTGACTGTTTAGAAGCTACCGGTAAATTGCAGAAATAAAAGTGATGTGTGCTTTTCTCGGGATTTCTTTAAAATGAATGTCTGAGGCTGTTAGTTTGTTGCTGGGAGGAGGTCGTTCCTCGTGCAGCGAAACAGATCATTTTCTGTAGTCTCCGTGGCAGCAGATGCCTGAGGACTGCCCGGTAATTTCACTGCTGCTAATTTGTAGGATGTAAATCTAATCTGTGTGAGAGATGATAGTCTGCTTTGAATATGGGAGGAATCCCTCTTTATAAATAAAATGCAGTGGGATTTTTAGCATATGTGCAGAGCAACTGAGGATGGTGAGGTGACTCTGGTAGTCAGTATTTGTGGTGGACATGATGCCTGTGTAGTGTTGTTCAGAGCAAAGCCCACTTTGCTCTCATTGTAATACTCTTTACTTTTTCCTTTTCTAGAGTGAGGCAGAAGTGAATCCCAAAGCTTACCCCCTGGCTGATGCACAGCTCACCAAAACGCTACTGGATCTTGTGCAGCAATCCTGCAACTATAAGCAGCTACGCAAGGGAGCCAATGAAGGTGAGACCTGTGTGTTGTGTTCTAGAAATCATGGCAAGGATTTTGTGAGATGCTATGGCTAGAGGTTGTCTCTTCTCTCTAGTGGTGGGCCACTAATGTTACATAGATCTGGATATTGTGAGTGTCCCCCTCCTTCCTTCTCCTTCTAGCCTGTTTAAGCAATATTCAGGGACAGAACTAAGCTGTAACCTTTTCAACATTTGTATAGGGTTCTGGTAGATGCCCAGACTGTGTTCCCAGCGCACATCCTGTGATCGTTCGTACTTCAGTGATGTGGTGCTGGGATTACCAGATACCTAGCCAGTTTAGAACCATTAAAAGATTTGGGTTTGAGGGGACCTCTGGAGGTGTCTAGTGCAACCTGCTCAGAGAGTGTGACCTACTCAGAGATCCCTCACAGTTGGATCCGGTTGCTTGGACTTTGCCTAGTCAAACTTTTAAAAAAACAATCCCAAAAGACAGAAACCCCACAGTCTCTCAGGACCAATGTCCCACGCCTTAAATCCCTCTCATAAGGGGAAGGGAGCAGAACATAAAGTTCCAGTGTGTCGCCAGAATCTCCCTGAGGCAACAGTGACAGTCTGCAACTTGTCCTTTTTCTTGTGCACTCATGAGGACAGTCTGGCTCTGTCTCCTATCTCCTTGAAGTAGTAGAAGACAGCAGCCGTATTCCCCGCCCACCCCCCACTTCAGCCCTCTCCAGGCTAAACAAACCCAGCTCCCTGAGTCTCCCCTCATCTGTGGTGCGCCCCAGCCCGATAGCCGTCAGCAGCCCTGGGCTGGTCTCGCTCCCTTGTAAATGTCTCTGCTGTGCTCAAGGGCAACATTGGGCACAGTAACCCAGGTACAACCCTGTGAATAACCCCCTCCCTGGCCCTGTAGCTCCCATCTTCCTTTGGCCTGTCCTCATGCTACCACTAGATCTCCTTCTTGCTCATGCCAACATCTAACGTTGTTTTTCATTAGATGTGATTTCTAGAAGGACCTAGACTTACTCTTCAGTTTCTTTTACAGCCACCAAAACACTGAACCGAGGCATAGCAGAGTTCATAGTCATGGCGGCAGATGCTGAGCCCTTGGAGATCATCCTGCATCTCCCTCTTCTCTGTGAGGACAAGAACGTACCTTATGTGTTTGTGCGCTCCAAGCAAGCCCTGGGTCGGGCATGTGGTGTTTCCCGGCCGGTCATCGCCTGCTCCATCACCATCAAGGAGGGATCACAGCTAAAACCTCAGATCCAGTCTGTCCAGCAAGCTATAGAAAGACTGTTGGTCTAAATGCCCATGAGTTTAAGTGTGTGTGGAATAGGAAAGTTTAAATCAGGGGGAATTAATGTCTAGCTTCAGTTGAGATTATAGTTTTGATATCAGTGTTTCATTTCAAAATACCACATTTTTGTTTAATAACAGCTTCATTCTTAGTATTTCTGCCTCTCCTCCCCCCTCTTTTCTATTATTCCACTCCAACACATTCATTCTCACTATATTACTTCTTTAAAAGTGATTGTACAACTGTATTTCCTGTTTGATGTTTAAAAAAAGAGAAAAAGAAAAAAGATCCCCCCCTTATCTCCGTCTCTGACTGCTCAGGGCTTTTTTAACCCACCCATTAGCTTATTCTGCATTGTGGTATTTCTGCTAAGCTTCAGCCTCTAACAGGTGTGATTAACTCCGTGTTTCTGAGGATAAGGCATATCGGTTCCCTGCATTGTGTGCGTGCAGACTGCTGGAGTTGTTGCTTTAAGTGATGGAGCTGTGTAGACTACCTATAAGGCAGGCAGCAGCTACTGTGTAGCACTGGATGGAGCCAAGATCAGTACATACAGCACAATCCTTTTTCTTCTTCAAACCAGAGGAGAGACTTCTGTAAGAGGTGTATGGGGAGCAGAAATCTTATGGCAGTGCACGAGGGGAAATCTCTTATCTCGCTTATTTTTAAATACTGACTTTTTAAGAAAAATAAAATTGCTGACAAAGCTAAATATAATTGTTGTTCCCTCGGGCAAGCCTTTGCAGCTAACTGAAGTGTCCTGCTTCTAAAGCTAAACGGCTCAGAGGTTGCCTAAGGCTGTTGTAGTAGTTCATACTCCTTCAGTTTTCTTTGTGTGGACTGTTATCAGTGAGCTTGGCCTTCCATTGCCAATGGGTATTTAAGTGCCAAACACATGGTAGAGAGCAGTCTGCTGTGGCTGACAAGTACCCTACATATCTCATGCTTTTAGGGAAGCTGCTGTACTGTAGTCACCTGACTAAAGATAAACCCTTTATGTCATGGCCAAGGCAACAGAGAGGAAGTAATTTTTCAGATAAAACAACTGTCTTGAGAAGAGAATGTAAGATAATCTCATTTTCTGCAAAAGCATGAAACACCACCAGCATTCTGGAGTAGTTGTGGTCTTACAGAGCTAGCTTTAGTTAAATGCATATTGTGTAATTAATCCACTTACTGCTTTGAGCAGAGGAGTCTAAACCTCTGTGTTGGAATGGGTCAGGTCATATCAAACCTGTCTTCTAATGCAGAATGCCAAAGCAAAGCTAGCACAGAAAGACCAATAGGAACAACAGAAGGGAAAATAGTTCTCCTGTAGTGTTTCCACAGAGGCACTAACTCCATACCTTTAGTAAGTATATCCCAAGCAGATGAAATCATCTCACGAAAGACTGAAGACAAAACATGTCTGTATATTTTTGTAAATGGCTGATAATGAATATCCTTGCTGAGGTGAACTTGATACAAAGATTTGAGAGTTCTTTCATTTGTATGAAGTTTAGAAATGCTGCTGTTCCCTTCTACCAAGGCTGACTGTTGAGCTAGTTGCATTTAAAACCACAGCTTTGTAAAGGACTTGCCCTATTGTACCATGCCAGGACAGCTGCTGTAAGACAAAGCACAGGAGAAGCAGAATAAAGGATTCTTGATCAAGCAAAACTGACCTTATTTTCTGCTCTGAAGTCTTCCATCACCATCCCTGTTGAACATCTGTTTAATGCAATAGCTTGCCTTTAAAAAAAAAGCCAGGAGGAAGATCTAATAACCTAGACAAAATGTCCCATAGTCATCCAAAGCCTGGAACATATTGTGCCTAGGGCTTATCAAACCAAGGGAGAAGTTAACAAGGGCATTTGGGGAATGAAAATTCACAGAATTAGGGACAGGATAGTCTCATTATTTTATTGCATTCGAGTCTTGCTAAGACAAGTATTTACAGTAAGTTCTTTGCCAAAGGGAAAAATAAATTGCTTAGACAAATCTTTATTAAAAATAACTACTATAATGCAGGCTGATTGAAAGTATAATAAACTACACAGCTTCAATACTGCAGCACTCAACGTGGGCTAGCTGCTCTTTCGAGAAGAGCTGTGGAGGTGGAAGTGAGCAGCGTGGTGGCATAGCTACGGTGGTCACAGTGCCAAGAGTTCACAGCTGGCTCCAATACGTGTGCCACACTACAGCCCAGGCATGACCTTGGTATATGACTTAATTCTTCAATAAGTTGCACAATAGTTTGTGTGCCAAACACAGAAAACCCTAAAAACACCACACAGACCAAAATGGGATACCTCATGGTATCAGGGCAAGGACTATTGGGTTTCATCATCTTGCACTGCAAGGTAAGTTGGGCATGCCCAGCATGGAAGTTTAAAAACCAAAGCACAGACAGCCCCAAATGCAGCCTCCATAAGTACAATTAAAAAAACCCAAAAAACCCTGGAAGTAACAGGGGCTACTCTCCACGACTTTATATATTTTTTTTTTTAATTATTTTCAAAGCACAGATTCGAGTACAGAAGCCTGCACAATAGTCTGACTCATACTCGCTACAGAGGTGGAAAAACTCTGTGCCATCTCAGTAATTGAACTGGGGTAAATGCTTGCACCCTTCCAGGGAACACGACTTTTTTTCTTCTTTTTTTAAACCACCTTTTGCTATTACCATTTAAAAATGGAAGACCTGGCTGTGCAGCTTTGTGAAATGCTGGCATTTTGTCCAAAGGATTGGCTACTGCTTCTCACTAATTATTTTCTCCTTTATGATCTGCTGGTAATGTTTGTAACACTGACGATGAAAAAGAACCCACTGAAAAAGAACCCACAGAAAGCACTGATACTGACTGGCTGTTCTGGAGAGCAGGGGAGTAATACACCACATTTATACCCTCTGTTAGCACACAGATTTGACCTGCTGCTTGAATTCATGTGGTGCCATTGACACAGATCACTCTGTTTTTTCACTCCCATTGAAGTGAGTTTTGCTGTCTTCATGATGCAAAGACGGTATAGCCAGTGTTGCAAAGTAAGAAGTACAAAACAACTTTTATTAAGAAACCAGGAAGGCACAACTGTGTTCACTTGCAATTAGTGCCCTGAGTTAGCATGGAATTTAATTCTGCCTTTGGGTACTGTGATCAGAATCCAACCTTGCAGAGATGTTTCACAGCTAAGAATAAAAAGTTTCTCCACTGCTAGATTCAGCAACATTTACTCACCTTCTCCTCCATAGCAAGATCAAACAGACATAGCATCCACATAAGACAACCAAAACTTTAAGCAGACAGAAGTCAACCAGGGCTTTCTGCTCCAGCTTAGTGCTCACTAAAGTATTCAGTCAGTGCATCCATGAGCTCCTGCTTCTTCCCCCCACCCTTCAGCCCATAAAGCCTGCATGCATCCTTCAGAGCAGGTACAGTGAGCTTGCCTAGAGTGCCCTTCTGCACATGACGCTGCAGCTCTTCTTTTGAGACTTCTACCTTGGGCCTCTTCTCGGTTTGACCATCATAAGCTAGAAAAATAAATTTTAGATCACCAAAATTTTAAAAAGTTTCCTAACAGGAAGACATCAACATTTCTTATACACAGTTAAGGGCCGTTAGCACATGGTACTTTAACAGCTACCTACACACTCACAGACCTAGTTTCCATATTCTGTTTTATAGAGTAGGTGTCGCTCACTATGCAAGTCATATAGTCTATTTTGCTGATACGAGTGACCTCAACCTCAAGTATGAAACTTTGTGTTCCAATGGAAAGATTACCCCCCTAAATGTAACTTTTATGGAACAGGGAATGCAACTATTCCACAGGAAGTTCAGCTAACTGACAGTCCCACTTCATGCAGAGTTTCATAGACCCCCAAACTACACAGGTACTTAAGCATTACTTAGACAGTCAACCCTAAAGATGCCTACCTTGGACTTGTTTAACAGCCTAGGCGTAAAAGTCTGCTTCCTCACCAAGAACATAAACCGAAAGCATGAACAATCTCACTACTCTGTTGTAAAAAACCCAATGTTATTAATAATTATAATGATAAAAATAATAATAAACAAATATATCTTCTTCAGTAATTTACCCACATTGCTTCCTCTATTTCTCTGTTATTTTCACTATTCAGTTTCTCATTCCAGCAGTTCTCTAGCTGGTTACCACAATATCCTCTGCTCTCTGAGAATCACCACTGGATAAGTCCACTTTCTTGTGGAGATGAGTAAAGAGTTATTGCACAAGCAGCTTCTTTGAACTATGAGACAAACTGAAAACACAGAAGCCTCTAAACAAAGAGCACAGACACCATGTTGCATGCCTGCACCGTGATTACTTACCTTGTTTTCGCTTTACAGCCTTCGCATCAGGGTTGTAGTCAGGGGGATAGACCAGCTGCTTAAACTCCTCCACCAGGTTGCCCAGCCTGCGGTTCATCTCTTCAGCCTTTGGCACTGGCAAAAGAGAAAGATCTGCCCTCTCAAAAACAGAGTGATCACAGGACAGTCTAAATGAGGCCATCACCAGATACAGTTGTGGTTCTGTAATAATGAGCATGCAAGTGTCTTGCAAGTATGCAAAATGCAAAGACCTCTGTTATGATATTCACAAGTGAGAAATTTACAGCTCTTGGTAATATCAAGAGTTTGTATTATACATATGTAATGGACTGGCACATATCTCTGAACAGGAGATATATATACAGAACAAAACTGATGTGGTGGACGTGATGTAGAAGATCTCCTACCTGGTTGCACTGTTACCCAGGTCTAATCTTAGACATTTAAAATACAACACCTTACTATCTAAGGTTGTGAATAGTTTGAGGCAGAACAGCTTGTTTCTGTCATGTATTTGTATGATATCTAGCACAGGGATCTAGATTATTTGTTAGGTACCACTTCAAAAGAGACAACCAGTTACTCTAATGCTATCCCTGGAGTACAACGTAATTTTAAAAAAAGGAACTTCCCCTTCAGGAGTAGGTTTCTGTACTTTGACAAGATATTCTTATATAGAAACTCTCACAGCCACAAGGTGGCATCATTGGCTCCTGGCAGAATAATTCTCTAAGTAATTCTGCCCATTTATCAGACTGAAATATTAATTAGACTCTTGAAGACAAGAATTTCAGAGAAAACATTTGTCACCATAGAAAAAATGTGATTCAATTTTAATTTTGGAGGGTAAAGAGATCAATTTTACCTTATCTTAAAAGTGACAGCATTAGAAAGGAAGGTTTCAATATTTCAGAATGGACACATCCAGAAGTCT